CAAAAAAGATTCAACAAATTCATGGGATAAGTATATGTAAACTGACAAATAAATTTTAAAAATGTTGAGTACGGAGTATGATTTATGGCTCGTGGCAATTGTACCGTGCAAAAATTGAAAAAGTAATACATTGGTCAAACATGACTCCTTTTGGATGGAGGTAGTAAAATGCATGTTCAAGACTTCAAGTACCTTCAAGTTTGTGAGTTTTAGTTTCTCTCTATCGTCAGGTCGAATCAGAACGTTCTTACCATCATAAAGTTCTTCAGATACTTGATCAGCTAGAAGCTGAGGTATGATGCCATTGTTTTCTAACCTCTGTTCAGGTTTTAAAAGCTCAACATTTACACTATGTTTGGTTCAAGGAATTTGAACAGGAAAAGAAAAGAAAATGAAGTGGAAAACAGTTTTTTTTGTTTGGTTAGAGAGGATAAGTGGAAGGAAAAGAAAATGAGAAGGCAATTAGTACTAAGTGGAGGGAAATCCAGATTCCTCCCATTTTGATGAGGAAAATGAGAGAAAATCATTTTCTTTTCTTTTCCCTCCAAATTCCTTGAACCAAACACTTAAGGTACTGACTTTCTCTGTGTTATGCTTATGCTAGATGACATCAGAACGCGGAAGGATTGAAGCTCCGGCTTCTAGGGAAGATAGTATGCCTCCACCTCCTCCATATGAAGAAATAAATGGTGTATCTACTTCTCCAATGCAAAATGGCTTAACTGACAGCATGGGTTACTTTCTTGGGGAGGTGAGCAAAAACCTTTCCTTCGAAAATTGAAACCAGAAAATTTATCAGACACATCATGTCAACCTTTTTAAGCATCTACCCCTTCCTTGTGTGTGCGATATAGGCTTTGTATTCCTTCCGTGCTGAATCTGGCGTGGAGCTTAGTTTGTCAGTTGGAGAATGTGTTGTTGTTCGAAAGGTTTGTTGGTCTCCAAAACTTATTACACCTTACTTCCTCTGTTCTCAATAACTGCCCATTAAGAAAAAGATATCGTTTCTCACGTGTATTTGGCAATTCTTCAGAAATCTCCATATGGAATGCTCGGGTGGGGCCAGAGTGTCGTGCTTCATTAAAATGCTTTGAGTCTTATTTGTGCGCTTGAAACAACACATGTACAACACTAACGCTTGATTTGTCAACGCAGGTTTCAAATAATGGATGGGCTGAAGGTGAATGCAAAGGCAAAGCTGGATGGTTCCCTTATGGTTATATAGAGAGAAGGGAACGGGTTCTCGCAAGTAAGGTCGTGGCTGAAGTTTTTTAAAGCCATTGTGTTATATATGTTGTGGCATGTTGTTGTGTGTAGTATCGTCATCCTTTATACACTATATATGCAGCACCTCTAACTTTCCCTACCTTATTATAGGCCAAGATAAAAAGCTTTTTCTCCAATTTCTCAAAAGATAGGCTTGTATTTTTGGAACCTTGTTTCTGTTTTTGTTTTTATGTTTGATTGTAAATACTTCTTCAACTCCTTCAACATTTTGGTAATATGTGAAAGCATAAATGGATTGAACGTGGTAAGAGGCTTTTATCAAGCCTTGAATTTGTTAAGTTATAACACACAGCTAAACAGCCTACAAGGCTTTTATTGAGCATTGCCATTAGACACACACACATGTGTGTGTGTGTGTATGTATCTATTTCCTTTTGGATTTGGCCAAGGAAATGTTCCACATACAATACACAAAGGGTAGTAGTCAAGAGTGGTCGGTAGCATCAATGTTGCTTTGGTTACCAACACCAAAACTACAACATTCATCATTATTTGTGATGGGCTTTTATTCATATAATCATATGCAATTGAACATAGGCCTTTTGACTTTAATCTGATTAACAAAAAATAAATAAAATAAATAGAAATCATCCTAAATAAGACTAAAAATAGAAAAAAGTACCAAAATAGAAGTTCCATGTTTTAAAACTGTGATAATGTGGTTGTAATGTGGCACTGTACATGTGTACATTACTATACTTTTTGATAATATACATGCCTATTTTGATAATGTAAATACATTTTAACTCCTTTTTCAGGAAATAAAAACATGGAAGTGTTATTTTTATATGTTTTTAATGTTTTATTCATACTTTAGTCTTTTTCCCTAAAATAAGAACTGAAAGATGTTCAGCTAAAGGTAAAAAATGAAGGATTGTAATATATTTGGAAGATAAGGATTCAATATATTTCTTAAAAAAGAAAGTGGAAGTAATAAAATTAATTTTTTGATATTTAAACAAAATGTACGGAGTAAAATTCATTGAAAGAAGGATGAGATATACAGTACTCCAAATTTTTTTTACCATGTTGGATTTTAGACCAAAAGCCTCCTCCTGATAGCGACGGCATTGACTAGGAAAGTCTCTGGTAGACCTGCGACATCAGCCTCAGTCTTTTAAATTGGCATGTCACTAGCATTCTTCCACGCTTGCCGAGCCATTGGCGAGGCACTCCAGTCTCCCACCTCTTTTATTATGGAGTTTTTTTTGAATGAAAAACAAGCTATTGAGTGATATTTAAAATAAAATATAAGTTTTTTAATGATAAAAGTGATAAATAAATTAATACTCCGTAATTAATAATGTAAAAAGTGCAAAAATGATAAAAATAAAGACTTGCAATTGGGGGGAAAGATCGAAATATAATTTCAATATACATAGTATTTATTTCTAAAATAAAACCTACAATGTCAATAATGTCAAGAGATAATATCAAAAAATATTTTAGAATGACAATATATAGTACTATCCCCGTTCCTGATTATTTGTCCAGTTTTGACTTTATCCGGTCAACTATTTTCAACATTTGACCTATAATTAAATAAAATATATATTGTATATTACTTAGATAAAATAATATTTTAAAAATATTGTATACAATAAATCTAATGAAACTATTTTTGTATCAATATCTTATATCATTTTTATTTAATTTGAGATCAAAGTTAATCAATCTTGACCAAAAAAGTCAAAAGTGGACAAATACTTAGAGACATAGGGAGTATTATATTATCATATTGTAAATTTTTATTTTAAAATAAAACATAGAAGGGGACTATTTTTGTTGGTTGAAATATTTACTTGATGGAAAATGCTAGGGGTACACCAAAAGTGTGCCCCAAACATCCCCCACCCCTCCATCACCACACAAAAAAGGCAAGAAAAATTCAAAAAAAAATAAAAAATAAAAACAAAATCACTCTATTCTTAAAAGCAGGGGAATTTTTTTCCCGCCCAATGCACTATAATCCTGCACCGTTGATATCAATGTATGAAAAAGATCTGCGGTTATGATTGGTTGTGTATTATTACCAATTTAGAAGGATATATTAAAGGAAACTTCTCACTAATTCATTTATACCAATTGAATGCATTGTAATCTGACCAAAAAGGAAGGAATTCAATGTTTTTACAACCGTGTGTTTTTTTCTAGAAACATAAAGGGTGTTATTGATAATTTTTTATTTTTTTACAACCGTGTAAAAAAAGGTAATTTATTCCTATGAAAATTAGCATTTTAAAAAAGGAAAGTTTTAAAGGAGGATATAACGTATATATTTACAACCGTGTGTTTTTTTGTAAACAGATTAACAAGGAAAAAAATTGAGAAATAAAAATTTACTTTATATTTTGATATCATTATTATTTTTTAAATATGTGATAAAAAAGGAAATTTATTCATACAAGAAAAGAGGTTATTTTAAAAATGGCAAACATAAAGAGATGGAACGTGATTATTTTAAAAAATATTTTATTCCTATGCAAATTACCATTTTAAAAGAACGAAAGATTTAAAGAAGGATATAATGTAAAGATTAAAAAC